GGAATGCGACTGTGTCGCAGTGGAATGCGAACTCCTTGAGGAGCTGCCCGCAAGTCCCACATTGGCCGCGTCTCGAGCCACTGAAAGACTTAAGCTGTTTTCCTCTCCCGGGACTGGGGAAAGACTTGCTACTACCATGCCCTTCTTCCCAGAACCAGAGGCACTAGAAGGCATACCTGTTTGCCTACCAGCTTGTGGGACGACAGTAAACAGCATGCCGTGACGAGAATGGCCCGCATGCGTACTTCTTCCTTTCACCGGATTGACGTGTTTCAGGTACTGCGTTGAACAGTAGGGAAGACCACCAGCGTTTTCAACGGCCCTTCCGAGTCTCCTGGAGAATTCAGCTGAACTAATAATTGGCACTCTAGTGCTTTGCATTATCCGTGTGCGAGAAAAGAAAAGCCGCATGCAAGTTTCGATCTGACATCGTTCAAGGAACCACCTCGCTCCAGAATCAACAACAATGCGATCAACCTGATGCGTTTGCAGAATCTCCAGTAAATTTATACATCTTCCTACGAACTCATCGTCTAGGGTACCACCAGATAAGTTTAGTTCGTACTGCAAACCCAGCATGATCCCCATCAAGTACCAGTGCACAACCACACTGAAGCCCAACATTCCAAGTATCTTGCTTTTGAACTTCTGGTCGTTGAACTCCTTGTCATGTGGTCGTGGAAGCATGGCTGCTTTCGTAAACACAATCAACTTTTCAAGAGGGGTTCGGTATTCATCCAGGCCAGGCGCACCGTTGGCCAGTCCCAGAGCGCGATTGGCTAAATTGAGAAGAGCATTGCCGGCCTGCGCCCGAAGGGGTTCCATGGATGGTGAAGTTAGTGAATGGACAGCTAGCTGTGCGACCAGTACATGCATCAATGCAGCTGTAAGTCGTAACATTTGACACTCCCCGATATACGGCTGGATGCTCTGGCAGAGATTCGAGAAGAAGCAAATGTTCGTTAGCATCTTCTCCAGTTGGGCTTTGGTGTCGTTTGCTACTTCTCGATTCCTCCAAAGGCCCCGTCCAGATGCTGCATCCCTCAAGGTGCCTGAGCGTTGAGGACCACTCCCGTTGTGCCTGCCAGATTTCCCGCTTCCTGAACTGGGCCAGTCCTGCGCTCCCACCCACATTAGCTGGGCTACTGGAACCCCTCCCACTGGTCCAATTTTCTGTGCCTCTGTTTCCCCTGCTGCGGACAACATTCCAGCTCCCCAAGATGCATCAACATAATAAGCCGGTAGTGAAGGAACTGATGGAATCCCCTCGAAACCAGTTGTTATGGTCCCTTCGCTCATCAGCACTGTTTCTTCTTCAAGTTCCCTCACTGCTCCGGTATACATGCCTCCAGCTTCTTCTGCTCTTGGGAGCATTTCTTCTCCCCAGTGTGCACCACCATATTCAGGCTCCAATGGAGCCAGCATAGCTGAACTCCTCAGGAATGAGGGCCACCAATGGAAACCGTCATCGCCCAGGCCTCCATCGCTGTGGGGGATCCGTGCACACTCGTCCTCACCCTCATTAGCTAACGACCTCAAAACTGCCCCCTGCCCGTGGCCAAGAGTAGTCTTCTTGAAACAACGGAGGAGCACATATACCGCTCCCAAAGACGCAAGGATCGCAGCCAGATGGATAAATGAAGGCACGAGTGACTTTTTCCTCCGGGGTCTTAACAGCAAGGAAGGCCTTTCTTCGCTAATCTCGGAGTGCCTTTCCTGTGCAGTGTGCGCTCCCAGAAGGTCCCCATTGTCCACCATGGCACGGGAGCCAGCAGCAGAAAGATGCTCAGTAGACAAGAAGTTCATGGTCTGCATCACATTAGAGCATTTGCACCTGCCCCATATATTGGAAGGCGGAGCGCGCGTCTTGACAGACCCCCCGAAATCGTCTACACGAGCAGTTACTTGTGAATGATAGCAGAGCAGCCGAAGCGTATATATTCCAGACCACCACAAAAAGAAAGAAGGCGCGTTAACCGTGCACTTCTGGGGTAGCGCGCGGTGCCCCGAACCACGGTGTGGAGAACCAGGGTTTCGCCAGTGTCAATCGCCAGTCGGTGGGGTTCAAAACATGTATGGTACGCCTTCGCAGTGTTTTCTAGAAAAGGCGTACTCTCTCGTGAGGTTGGTGAGCAAGGGGAGAGGGTCGGGCATGAGACCCCGGCAAGGATCAGGAAATGCACGTTATGTAACAAGCCGATTCATTGCCGCCCCTTTCGTTGTCCCCAGAAACGGCACCTCCCAAATCCAATAAACTTGACTTTTCAAAAGTTTCCGGTTTTCTAAACTTCCCTAACCAAGAACTCACCAGCGAACCCTCCCTTCAGGGATGCTGGACTACGGCAATCGATTGGCGCGCTGCCTGTTGAGCGGTTGCCCGAGGTACCTAGGCTGGCCATGCATCGCTTGAAACGCTCTTTCAGCAGGATTCAGCCAGACTGTATTCCTCACAGGTGGTATTAGACACGGGAATGCGAAGGCAAAGCAGCGGCCCAGCGTGGGGAGCTGCCACGAAGAGCACAGTCATGGGTCTTTTGTGGTGTCCCCGCACCACCCGTGCAGCGAAATCTGGGTGATATATGCCGGTTCCCACATGCAAGTATGTACTCTTTTGTAAGCCGAGTTGGCTTGATAGGACTGACTAAGGCCCTCATGGTTGCACGACTATAGCATGACCCCTCTAGAGCTGATTGCTCTACTCCTGTTTCCTTGCAGATAAGTAGAAGTACTACTGCAGTGCATGACGGTCATCAGCTTAAGTCGAGGACTCTCAGCACAGCTGGTAATATCCCATGGCTCAGGAGGCAGCCGAATCATGCTAACCCCACCCCCAATGTGGGGTAGCTTGGGGTATACGAACTTTATGCCGTGCTGGCGTTGGGCGAGAAAAGGGATAAAACCCTTTCAGATTATCCGCCAAAAGCGTATCAAATTCAGTCTTCTTCTAGGTAGTAGTTGGGACTGATTGGAGTCTACGCGCTGGTAGGGCGGCTGAGTGCTGGTCCCGCCCATTTAGGCAGAAGTGCTTCCCCCGCAGCAACCTTTCATGAAGACGGCCTCCGCGTTTCCGAAAGTCCAAATATGATTTAAGTCGATGTGCGGAGGAGGTGGAGCAGTTCCTTGTTTCTCTGAAGGTGTACGACAAAATCCAGCAAAAAGATGCAATCGCGGTAAGTACCGCCCAACCTAGAAAGGGGCGAAGCACGATTATGGCTTTACCTAAAGGAAGGTTATCATGTCTCATTCGCACATCCTGTCTACTTATGAGGTGCGAAGCGGAGTAGGTTGAACCTTAGTTCGACAAGGAGGCATGCTATGGCAGGATTGAGAAGACCTAAGAGGAGCTATCGCTAGAGCGTTGCACTAATAAGTACCCGTGCTCTGCGAATGAAAGCCGAACAGTGGAGTCGGCGAGTCTGTATCAGTGGTTCACAGCAGATCTTCCCCCTGGTAGGAAATACTTGGTAGCTGCCTGGGCCGCGGTGAGGAAACGTAGACGTGAAAGGATGCAACTTGCCCACACGAAACAATACTGACGCATAAAGAAAAAACGCTCTTTTCAACTCCGTAAGTGAGGAAGAAGAAAATGGGGCTGGGAATTTCGCAGATACAGAGCCTGGAAATATTGGGTTTGTGAATGCTGGCCTCCCTAAGAAAGACGGACGATCGATAACAAACGCCTGCTCTGCGGAGGGGGCACGCAGGGGAGCCGAGGAAGATTGCCGAGCAAATCATTTGTTCCGTTCGTTAGGCACAAGATCACGCAATTCGGAATGGCTCTACAGCACAACAATGCAGTCTTCGACTAGGTGCTGTAGGATTCTCTTGTCTAGATCGAAACACCGCTGTTTGACCCGATAGCTGTTTGTAGCGAGCCCCGCACGCCCTCAACGCGCAAACTTCGTTACTAGTTTGCAGCTGCTCGGGAGTGCATGAAGCAACCCCACAGACTCCAGGAGCAAAAATACAGCAAGCGACCACCGTTACTGACTTTTAACTCAGGTTAGTAGGTTCTAGTGGATTGGAGCCCTCTGCCAGGCGCTCATGATGCAGAGCAGGCAACGGAATCCGCCGTGTGTCCAATGCCTTTTGCTGTTCATTCCAGGGTCAACGCCTGGAGCTTCACTCCAGATCCACCCCCAGAACAAGAATGAGACAATAATCTCCCTCAAAACAAGAGTGAGATAATAATTCTGGGGAATTATTATTTCAAGCGTGTTAACTCCACTGCAGTTGAGGTCACGCAGAACACTCAGGACGCTGCTGCACAATCATTGAACTAAGCCTCTGCGTTATGCGAGCATAATAACTTAATTTCAGCCATTTAGGCTTAAATAATGCCTCCTCGACTTTTCCCCAGACTAGCTTGTGCATATCGCTCAGGGTGGCTCTGACTGAAGTGAGCAGCTCTCACCCACGCCGGTTACTACGTGGGACTCGTTTCCTTAGGTACACACTCTATGTCTATCTCTACACTCAGCGAATCTTCC